TATATAAATTTTTATTCCAGTTTTATTTTGATTTTTTTGCATTGTTAAACAAATAAAATCAAATGAAATAAAAAGGTTTTTATATTTTATTTTATTTCAAACTACAAAAAATGTATTGTTTTAATTTTAATTTTAGTTAACTATAATAACTCTGATTCTAAGGGTAAATGATTTTGTTCTGACCCCATTGGCAGATATTTTGGTAACACTTTACAATATTTGTTAACGCTAGTTACATTAGTTAACATAAACTAGCAATGACAAATACTTCTAAAGCATTTATTCATCTTAGTTAATGTTGATTCCAACATTTATTAAAATCAAAAGTTATATCTATTAATGTTATTTAATGGACCTGAGCTAACATAGACTAACAATGAACAGTTGTATTTTTATTAACTAACAAAGATGAACAAATTCTGTAACAATGTCTTGCTCGTTATTAGTTAATGTTAGTTAATGCATTAAATATAGTTAACAAACGGAACCTTATTGTAAAGTGTTACAGATATTTTTTTCTTGTTCTAAGCAAAAACTTACTTAAATTGTTACATTTTTCAGAAAACAGGACTTCTTATCTTAATGTCATTTCTCAAGTAAATGTGTCTTGATTTAAGAATGTTTAGAAATTTGCACTGAAAAACAAGACAAAAATACTGAGTAAGAATCATTTTTTGCAGTGTAAGAACAGATAGGTTGGGATCTCAAATGAAAGCGTCTGTTGGGACATTAAAACTGCTTTCCACTGTTCAACATGCGCTTAATGTGCTGATGCTTTATTGTGCACTTTAGTATGCACTAATAGTGCACTTAAAAAGTGCATACTAAAATTCTATAGCATGCACTAATGCTGTAGTGTGCATTTTAGCAAACACACTGAGTGCTTCAGCTTTTGTTAGCTTGATTCTGCGCGTCTGGGTTTTCCTGTTCGGCCGCCCGCGGGCAGTTGGAGCTGGATTTGCTCCGGCTGGGGTCCGTGTTCTGCTTGCACCCCACCGCGCCGTCCCGCACCAAACACCCGCACACGAGCCTGTAAAACGCCCGGCGCATCTCCCTGCTGGCCAGCGTGTAGATGACGGGGTTCATGGCGGAATTCAAGACGGCCAGCACGATGAACCAATCAGCTTTGAGCAGAACCGGGCACGTTTTGGTCCCGCAGGCCACGTCGACGAGGAGCAGCACGAAGATGGGCGTCCAGCAGGCGATGAAGACGCCCACCACGATGCTGACGGTGCGCAGGAGGGCCATGGAGTGCTCGCAGTTGCTGTGCTTGGTGACTTTGCGGCTGCTGCTCTTGACCAGGACGTAAATGCGGGCGTAGAGGACGGAGATGGCCAGCAGGAGCGAGATGAAGATGGTGATGCAGAACGCGACATAGCTCTTGCTGTAAAGAGGTAAGATGGTGGAGCACTGAGGAAGATCCTCCAGACAGTTCCAGCCTAAAATAGGCAGCGCTCCCAGTGTGATTGCGATCAGCCAGCACGTTCCTATGAGCAGAAACACCCGATAGTTTTTGCTTGCATCATAAGGCCTCATTTTGATCATAGTAAGGTGGCGTTCGATCGCAATCGCCAGTAGGCTGAAAATAGACGCGCCTAATGCAACAAACATACTCCCTTCTCGAACAAACCACTCGGCCGGAGACAAGTGTAGCGTCCACTGTCCTGACATCAGCAGGTTGACTATATAAGTCACGCCGGCTAACAAGTCGCACAAAGCCAGGTTGGCGATAAAAAAGTACATCCGGTTATGAAATTTGTGGTTTTGCCAGATGGCCACCAGCACTATCAGGTTCTCCAGGATGATGAGGCCGCAAACGACCAAAAACACGGCCGTTTTGGGGTCCAATGGGACGCCTTCGGTCTCATTGCGATTGTCTAGTTTCCCCGTGTAGTTGTAATGCAGGAAAATGTGTTGGTTGATCATTGCGGGACGATTCGGACAGGATCTTCCGGACAGGTGCGGATCGTAAGGGTAAGACGGGTCACAGATGGGTGTTTGGCGAGCGGGTCGACTGCTTTCTTCAGGGTTTACCTGTCAGTCATCACTCTGTACTGTCATGTCGGTGGCACACATCTGCCTGTGGAGTCAAGCAGATGTGCTTTAAAGACAGCTACTATAATGACACCATGATCCAGTCAGATCTGGATTTTGTTTCACTCAAATATGTTTCATGAAAACTTGACTTCAACACATGCTGGAACATTTGAGATGCGTTTCAAGTCACAATAAAGAATTAATTAAGGATAAATTATCCTTGTAGTTGTACAAAAATATGGTGCCACTACATATATACACTAAGTAGTGTATATATATGGTATTTCAAGATACTGTAAAATACTCTTCAAAAGTTTGGGGTCTGTATTTTTTAATGTTTTTGAAATGCATCTCTTTATGCTCACCAAGGCTGCATTTATTTGATTAAAAATACTGTAAAAATTGTGAATTATTACAATTTAAAATATCAGTTTTTTTATTAGAATATACTGTAAAATGTAATTTATTCCTGTGATCAAAGCTGAATTTTCAGCATCATTACTCCAGTCTTCAGTGTCGCATGATCCTTCAGAAATCATTCTCATATTCTGATTTGCTGCTCAAGAAACTATTATCAATGTTGAAAAAAATGTGTATTTTGTGGAAACCTTTTTTTGAGTTATTTAAAAAAATGTCCTGGCACTTCCAAGCTTTATAATGCCAGTGAATGGGTGTTGAGATTCAATAGTTCAATAAAAGTCCAATAAACGGTGTCCATCCATCATAAAAAGTGCTCCAAACGGCTCCGGGGCATGAATAAAGGCCTCCTGTTTTTGTAAGAAAAATATCCATATGGTTAAAACTTTATAAACCGTCATCTCTAGCTTCTGCTAACTGTCATGGCGTTCCAGCGGATGGTGTAGGACGTAGGTGTAGTTTTGCTTACCGGAGCAAAGGAAGCAAAGTTCTCTTACTTTATCCAGTCTCCTCTTGGCTTATTTTGAAATCCTCCGTCATTTTTCTTTACAAATCCTCGTTTTGTACTTCTTTGTTTTGCTCTTGATTATCCTATTTAAATCAATGTGATGAAAGAGTAAGGTCAAAAGTATTCAAAAAGTAGTCTGATTATGTTACCTAAAATGTGTAATGTATTGGATTACGTTACTAGCTACAATTTTTGTCATGTAATTTGGAATCAGTAACGGACTACTATTTGTAAGTACCCAGCTCTGCATATATTAAAAACTATATGTGCATGCAATGCATGTTATATTACTCTAATATAAAGTGGCCTGTTGGAAAATTCAGATGATGGTGAATGTGTTATTAATATAAAGCATAATAGCTGGTCAGTCGCTGGTTAACCACCCACCATGTCCACCTTAAATTTAAATAAATAAATGTATGCATTTAGCAGACGCTTTAGCAACTTACAGTGCATTCAGGCTATACATTTTTTATCAGTATGTGTGTTTCCTGGGAATTGAACCCACAACCTCTGCGCTGCTAACGCAATGCTCTACCACTGAGCCACAGGAACCTTAACCAGCTAATGACCAGTTTAAACCAGCTGCTATACTCCAAGAAGCAACTGCAAGTTTAAGATGGACTCTCTAAGTGGGTAGTACCATGGTTTTCTTTGAAAAACTGCAAACTTTTGGGGTCTGTAAGATTAATTTTTGAAAGAAAGTAATACAGCAAGGATGCATCCAATCGATCAATAAAAAGTGAGAGTAGAGACTTTCTATTTCAAATAAATGCTGTTCTTTTGAACTTTCTATTCATCAAAGACTTCTAAAAAAAAAAAAAAAAAGGTTTCCACAAAATACACATTTTTTTCAACATTGATAATAGTTTCTTGAGCAGCAAATCAGAATATGAGAATGATTTCTGAAGGATCATGCGACACTGAAGACTGGAGTAATGATGCTGAAAATTCAGCTTTGATCACAGGAATAAATTACATTTTACAGTATATTCTAATAAAAAAACTGATATTTTAAATTGTAATAATTCACAATTTAAAATATCAGTTTTTTTATTAGAATATACTGTAAAATGTAATTTATTCCTGTGATCAAAGCTGAATTTTCAGCATCATTACTCCAGTCTTCAGTGTCGCATGATCCTTCAGAAATCATTCTCATATTCTGATTTGCTGCTCAAGAAACTATTATCAATGTTGAAAAAAATGTGTATTTTGTGGAAACCTTTTTTTTTTTTTTTTTAGAAGTCTTTGATGAATAGAAAGTTCAAAAGAACAGCATTTATTTGAAATAGAAAGTCTCTACTCTCACTTTTTATTGATCGATTGAATGCATCCTTGCTGTATTACTTTCTTTCAAAAATTAATCTTACAGACCCCAAAAGTTTGCAGTTTTTCAAAGAAAACCATGGTACTACCCACTTAGAGAGTCCATCTTAAACTTGCAGTTGCTTCTTGGAGTATAGCAGCTGGTTTAAACTGGTCATTAGCTGGTTAAGGTTCCTGTGGCTCAGTGGTAGAGCATTGCGTTAGCAGCGCAGAGGTTGTGGGTTCAATTCCCAGGAAACACACATACTGATAAAAAATGTATAGCCTGAATGCACTGTAAGTTGCTAAAGCGTCTGCTAAATGCATACATTTATTTATTTAAATTTAAGGTGGACATGGTGGGTGGTTAACCAGCGACTGACCAGCTATTATGCTTTATATTAATAACACATTCACCATCATCTGAATTTTCCAACAGGCCACTTTATATTAGAGTAATATAACATGCATTGCATGCACATATAGTTTTTAATATATGCAGAGCTGGGTACTTACAAATAGTAGTCCGTTACTGATTCCAAATTACATGACAAAAATTGTAGCTAGTAACGTAATCCAATACATTACACATTTTAGGTAACATAATCAGACTACTTTTTGAATACTTTTGACCTTACTCTTTCATCACATTGATTTAAATAGGATAATCAAGAGCAAAACAAAGAAGTACAAAACGAGGATTTGTAAAGAAAAATGACGGAGGATTTCAAAATAAGCCAAGAGGAGACTGGATAAAGTAAGAGAACTTTGCTTCCTTTGCTCCGGTAAGCAAAACTACACCTACGTCCTACACCATCCGCTGGAACGCCATGACAGTTAGCAGAAGCTAGAGATGACGGTTTATAAAGTTTTAACCATATGGATATTTTTCTTACAAAAACAGGAGGCCTTTATTCATGCCCCGGAGCCGTTTGGAGCACTTTTTATGATGGATGGACACCGTTTATTGGACTTTTATTGAACTATTGAATCTCAACACCCATTCACTGGCATTATAAAGCTTGGAAGTGCCAGGACATTTTTTTAAATAACTCCGATTGGACTCGTCTGAAAGAAGAAAGTCATAAACACCTAGGATGGCTTGAGGGTGAGTAAATCATGGGGTCATTTTTATTTATGGTGAACTATCCCTTTAATTAAGAAAATATTTATTTTAAAATCTCAGGGGGACTTCAAGTAAATACATTAAGTGAAAGAGGTTCAGATGACAAAAAAAGATTGGGAATGCATGCATAACATGAATTTTAATGTGTTTGAAAGACAAAAGCCTTCCAAAGACACATGGTTAAATAACCCACTGGGAGATCATTCAAATTAACATTAATGAACACTTCTGAAACCTGAAATGATTTTTGTAAATCCAGTGGTCAAATGCTGTGTAGCCGCCTGACTGATGACTGATCTCTGTGTGAATGTCCACAAAACTGGAAGACTTTCCAAGTGTATGTAAGCGATAGGCTATTTTAGAAAGGAAAATTCAAAAGATGAAAAGAGGAATTAGGGAAAATCAATAAATTATTGCAGCTGTGTGAATAATATGTAATCCATAAAAAAGCAACTGTAGTCTGATTACGGGTATTTTAAAGTGTAATGTAATTTAATCTCATTTTTGGAATCTGATTACGCGATCCAGATCACATCTCATCAGTTACTACCCAGCTCTGACTGCATGATCCAGAATAATTCGACGCACAAAACTTACTCTGTCGTTTGCATTGAACTTGCTGTGGTGCGCATGATTGCAGATTGAATGACAATCATTTAAAAACCAGCATAACAAAATATAATTCCCATCAAATCTGAGCATCGCGTAAAATGTGTATTTAAATCTCTGACACGCATCTCGTCTTTGATTACTCACCATCAGATATCACGAACCGCAGAGTTTCTTCACTGAGACCCATTCGTGTCGTGCTTTGTTCAAAGAGGAGCTGTTATATTTCCATCTTTAACGTGCAGAAGTTCAGACTCGCGCGCGCAATGGAAGAAAGTCCTTTCTCGCAGTGCTGCTCTTTTCCTGCGGTGTCTGAGACAGTCAGTCCAGCCCACCACACACCTCCCACCGTCTGGAGCAGCACAGCAGTTCTGACACACTGTATTCAATAGCAAACAAGAAACAATTGGGCTTTTTGCATTATTATGGCATATTTAGCTGCCCCTTATTTCAGAAGAAGCGAAAAATAGGATAAACATGTGTAACATACAAATGTTAAAGATGAACAAACTGCTTATAGTTTCAATAACCTACTTTTAACAGCGGCTCTGAAAAAAATCACATTCTTTTACTGTTTCTACTGTTTCTGTCTTTTGTTTTCTTCTCTTAAATCCATATAAATACTTTATTTGATTCAATAAATAAAAAGTTTAATTGGTCAAACCAGTGTTCAAAACATGGTTATGGCCTTGGATGATCTGTTTTAAACTTTTGAAAAGTACTAGAGATGCATTTTTATGTAGTTGTTTATGTTATTTTTACTTATTATGTTATTATTACTGTAAATACGGGTTTCATTCAAGATGACATACGAGGATACGTTTCAGTTATTTTCTGAGGTGGTAATCAACAACAACTGGATCATAATGGAGCTTAAGTTGTATTTATTATGGAATATTATTTTGGTGACAATTCTGGCATTTCTTTCCCTTAAATATATATTTAGGCTATTTATGTTTCAAATAAAATTTCTCCAGGTTTTTTTTCCCCCCCACTAATGAAAAAGAAACCAAAGTAACAAACTTTTGTTCTTGGATCGCTGCTCAGCCAATCAAATTTAAATGTTTTATACAAGAAAATCCAAGAAAAAGCAAGTCCAGTTAGAAAAGCTCTCATGACTGAGGTATGTTAGACTTGATGAGTCATTTAAAAATAACTGCAAACTCTAGTGCATAACCAGATTTTCCATCTTATCACAGAAGCGACTGGCAGCCATCAGATTGAACTGGAGCTCACTGCGCTCAGCCCGCAGATTTCAGAGGTGAGTAATGGAAACATCCCAGAAGAGAGAGAGAGAGAGATGCTGCCAAGACCAGCCAGAAGACCAGAGCAATAAACATACAGTGAGCTCAGCTGACATTCAGATGAAGCTGCGGTGAAGGCCTGATCCCTGCTGACGTGTGTGAGCTGCTCTGAAAGTGTGTGTTTAGCATTTATACACCACAGAACGAGTCAAAGTTGAGTGCTCTGCTGTTCTTCTTGTTGTTTTCACTGATCCTGAATCAGATGAGTATGTGTCTGTATTATGTCTAATTTAGTCACACTTAGCAATATAACATTCAGTTTAATGGGTGATTCTCATCAAAACGGGTGTCAAGATAACATATCAGACCAAATAAAGAGAAAAAAAGTAGATAAAAAAAAGTATATATCCACACACACAAAATACAGGTGAAAATCAATAAAAATCAATATGGAAAAGAATTAGATGTATTCAGATGCAATTTATGTAATTTATACTTGCAATACTATGATGTATAAATACTTTATATATGTATTTATATTTATGTATGTAATTTATTATATTAATTATATTTATATGGAGGGCACGTATTCAAAATAAACAAATAGACAAAGGCGTAGTTTGATGACGCCGTGACTGAGTGTGGAATCATGGGAGTTGTTGTCTTCATCCGCACAGCCGATGCAATCCGACGGGACTCGGGCAGAAATCATGTTCATGGATGAGCTAATGATTTATTAACGTAGTAGAATGAAGCAGGGTGAGGCTGAAAGCCGTCGAAGCGAAACGAGGCGCTGAACGAGCGCGACACACGGCTGGAAAGCAGCGGAGCTTTTATTATGCCACAGTCGACCGCTTCCGCTCCTTCCGGTCGTGTGTATGTGCGGAAAAAAAAGCAGCGCTGTTTTATCATACTAGATACATTTGAAAGTTCTGTTATAATGCTACTCTGTGCGGTCGTCACCAGTCTATTAAAACGCACAACATATTAAAGCGTCTTTGGTGTTTCCATGTTTTCTACAAAACAAAACCGGAAATCGAGGGTGTATGACGTCATTGGCAGGCGACACAATGACACTATGGACACGCTCCGTGTTGCTAGTTAAAATTGCTTATTCCTCTGAATTTAAACATTCTTCGAAACATTTGGGATAATGTAAGTACACAAGTCAGCAAAATATATAACACTGTTCTAGTGGTTTTTGGATATTTTAATAAACAAATCTTACATATTGTGCCTTTAAAAGTTTTAATTTAAGCCTTTTTCATTTATAATTTTTCATTCATTTATCATTCATTTTGTAAATAAATATAAATTATATACAGTGGGTACGGAAAGTATTCAGACCCCCAGGGGGTCTGAATACTTTCCGTACCCACTGTATATATATATATATATATATATATATATATATTTAAAATTATGTGAATGGCTTATTTTATTTTATAATGTGAGCTGAATATGTTCTTAATGGACTTGCGGGGGATTCACAGTTTTTGTTCATGCTGTCACGCTGTTCGCCAAAATATTAAACACATACTCTTAAACATTTATAGGAAAATAGACTGATTTCAGAGCTGTAGTGAATCAGACTGGGATAATGGTCAGATAAACAATCTCTCATTAGAGTCTCAGAGCTCAACACACACACACACACTGGTGTTTATACCCCTGAGCATCATCAGCACTGTTTGCACACTTCCCACCTGGACAGCAGGTGTATTTGTACAGAAATCATGGGTTACTAATCTGAGTTTAGTTTAGTGCCGCCAGAAAAAAACACAAAGTCAAGAGCTTCCTGGAAGAAAATGTTTTCGCTCAGGAGACTTAAAGAGAATCATATAGAGAATAACATTATTATGGACTTTTTAGGTTTTGGTTTAAAGTTAAAATTGACAGTTTTTGGTTTCTCAAGACATTAACTGATGGGCTGGAGTGGTGTGGATTATTTGTGGATTATTGTGACTCTCATTCTGACGGCACCCATTCACTGCAGAGGAGCCATTGGTGAGCGAGTGATGCAATGCTACATTTCTCCAAATCTGATGAAGAAACAAACTCATCCTAATCTTGGATGGCCTGAGGGTGAGCACATTTTCAGCAAATTTTCATTTTTGGGTTTTATTAGAGATATCCATTATGTTTCATTGAAGTACTGACTGCTTAAATAAAACATAACTAGTAACAGATGAGTCAATAATTTTCATTCAGGTTTTTATTTCTCAGTTATCATGACATTCGTGCCTGAACCTGCAAATGACTTCAGAAATTCATGGTGCATCACTCATATATTTCATTTCCTCAATTGTTAGAAATTGTTGTGTTTTTTAAGTATAGGTACATAGAGACATTTGCATAAGTCTCCTAGGGTCGGATTCACAAAAATCCTCGTAATAAATAAGTTAATGAATTACTTAAAATAAATTCCTAGAACTCTGTAATAATTTTCCTAGGTGCATTTTTTTTTAAATATGAAGTTCTCAAATATGTTCTTAAGAACCTCTTATTTATTTATTTATTTTTGTGAATCCAGCTTCTGCTTCTCAGAAAACAACCCCAGTAATCTCACAAGTAACTAAAAATGCTGTATAAAAACGGAAAAGGAACTGGTAATTTTATGCTGTTAAATTGAAAAACATTTCCATTAACCTTAAAATACAACACAGTGCAATGCATAATTTAAAATACAAGTAAACACTGTAAAAAAAATAAACACTAAATACACTAAATTCCTTCATATTAACACACTGCCTTTCAGGACATTTCTAAGAGTTAATGTCTCATACTGTGCTCAAATTTGCCAAGATACCAGTGTCTGCAATTAAAGATATGATTTTATAGCTCTAATTTAATAACTATTGGCTCATTTCTGTCTGTTTTTATTTCTCCTATAAGGACTTTTAGGAGCAGCATTATTAAAGGTCATTGAATGTTTTTTCTGATGCAGCAGTCTGTCTCTGTGCTAAACATGTTGGATTGGTTCACTACAGGCCTCAGAAAGCAAGAGCTGGGGGAGTTCAGACGGAAAGCCCTCATTTACTTACGAGAGAAACTCATGAGCAATTACAGTCGAAGCCTTTCATTTACTCTCTCTCTCGCTCGCTTCAATTTTTCCCATTTTGCATCTCTGTTTGGCAAATTTGCCTTTATTTTACATGTTTTTTATTTTGTATTATTATTTTATTATTATTATTACTTTATTTATTTTTAAATGAGTGGAATAGCTTTGTCTGCCATATTCAGGGAGGGAGAATAGTTCAGCAGGAAGCCTGTTGTTGTCATGTGACAAGAAAGCTAGGAAACAGGAAATGACATCACAGAGAGGCTTGCATGTCAAGGTCAGTAAGGCTTTAGCCTAAAATATATTTAATTTAGTTTTATATCCAGGTTAGTTCAGTTTTTTTAGATATCAAACTCATGTTTAGAAATTAATGATAGAATCTTTTTTTTTAAATGTGCAAAGGGAAATATATTGTTTTGTTTGATTATTACGCAACTTCTTCATTTTTATTAAATGGAATGAATGGTATGGTTATATTTTTGGGAAGTGAACTTCACTCTTGTTTGTAAGTCACTTTCCTCTGAAGGGGTTTTAAAATCTAATGTCTGAGACGTGGTCAGGTTTGTCTGTGCCAATGATAAACCACAAGAAGAGGAAAGAAGGGTGAACACAGGAAACTCTCTATGTGTAGTCTGAGGTCTGTTGTGTCACGTTAGAAGTTCGGACAACTTAAAGGCATAGTTCATCCAAAAATGAAAATTTGCTGAAATTGTTCTCACCCTCACGTCATCCAAAATGTGACTGAGTTTGTTTCTTCATCAGATCTGCACCCATTCACTGCAGAGCATCCATTGCTGAGCAAGTGATGCAACGCTACATTTCTCCAAATCTGATGAAGAAACAAACTCATCCTGATCTTGGATGGCCTGAGTGTGAGCACATTTTCAGCAAATTTTCATTTTTGCGTGAACTATTTCTTTAATGTAAGGTTACGTAAAATGGTCATAAAATTATTGTTCACAATGA